GCATTAAAGGCCTCAGCATACTCCTTGCAAAACAAAATTCTCGAGGGTTGTGCGAAGTCGAAAGCGTTGCCTGTTGCGGACGCTCCACGTGATGCTATGACATTTTCTGATAAGTCTCATGACTGCTGGAAAACGATTCCATCACAGTTCTAACTATGGCGACGTTTGAGTTCAGAATACCGCCACCGTTCTTCGTCCACGAGTTCACCCAGCTGCCATGTGCGCAACGCAGCGAACGAAGCCTCTGCGGTTGTCCGTTCTCTCCACATAGTCTCGTCATAGTATTCGCTGAAGCCAGGTGAACGTCATCTCCACAAGAAGTATGCTGAGGCCTTTAGGAGGTGCTAATCCAGGCCCAGAAAGTTAAAACCCTCCCCAGGATTTTGTTGCAACTGCCTGAACACCTTTGCTGCTTTAAGCAAAATAGAGAAATCAGGCAGCTGGAACACAATTCTGGAGAAGGTTTTGACTTTCTGGACCTGGATTACGCACCTCTAGATATACCAGCAGGTCATCTCACCGAGTTTTCAGGAGTGGGGGCAGTCGATATTTCTGAAAGTACCACATTAGCAGATAATATGAACTCAATGAGGCCTTGCTGCCACTATGCCAACTGGACATATCGCTGCTGTCAGAACAAAACCTCATTTCTCCATTCCTGTCCTTTACCAGTTTTTGACATAATTTGAAGGTAATTATTGTCCTTTATATTGTGTGTAATTTTATGATGAATGGACCAAAAGAAAAGAAAGAAAACGTACTTTCTTTTCTATGTTTTTTCCAAGGGATGCACTGGTATCAGCCTGATATTCTGATCATTTACTCATAACACACTAATAACAACATCCGATACCACCTGATACCATGTGACGCAAGCCTAGCGTACACATGCCGCGCTAAAGAACAAACGCCTCAAAGTCGTTAGTCACTTTAAACATTCTGCTCTGGCATATTACCTTTAATTTGATCTCGTTTTTATGCACACATGAACACAATCACCGCCAGTTCCCCTACACAGGTGAAAACTTGCAGGCCAACAAAACGGAGGCAAAAAAGTCGACACTTGCTACCAGTACTATGCCAACCCTACTCTGTTTGAACAGAACTGCGAGATAAACATTAATACGTTGATTTTTTAAAATTGTCTGTGTAAAACAGGCTTTAGAGAGGCCGTATCATCCTACCCATGTACATCACCGCCTGCTTTTAGTTTCCGTGCACAATGCGTTTGCTTGGGATTCGGGTGCAGAGCATGTTATTGTGAATGAAACAGCTTTATTGATAACTGTCCACAGACAGAGCTCTCTACTGGGGTTACATTTCTCATAGCAGGTCAGTCGAACATACAGTGTGGGTATATAAATCGTAGGCTTTGCCCGCACACGATAATCTATTCACACACACAGTGCGAGTCACCAAAAATCAAGACTTCTAAAATTTCTCAGTGTATGTCTGGCTTTAGACGACATTCAACTACAGCTCAACCAGCCAAAAAGACTCCTACAGGGCATAAAACTCCACAGGTGAGCTCCTTGGCTGCGTTAGCCTGGGCTGTGAACCCTGCTGTCACTGTGCTACAGACCCTGATTTTAAGAGACAGATGAGGATCAAAACTATGAAACATACTTTACTTACAGCTGTATAGAAGAGCTTTCCTGACATGGAACAAAACCAGCTCTTCTCCACTGCAACGCTACTCAATCCAAGGTAACTAATGCAATGTAACTAGCTAACGCACTTCATTTAAAATCAGCTAGATTTCAGAGATTTAATTGGTAAGGTACACTGAACGTACACCAACAACTGCTTAACTCTAAGTAGGTTACTCAGTTTGGTATCAGCAAGTACTAAAAATGTACTCGGTCTGAAAAAAACACAGCAATGTAGACACTAACTGTCAAAAACAGCACAGAGTCTATTAAAATGAGCAGCGTTTGTTATGTTCAGATGTCAAATCCAACTTTATATTGTTCAGAGAAATCTTATATCTGACATGGGAACACTGTGAGAGCTGCCGGCTCATGTGGGCCCCCGCTGGTAAAACTGTCAGGCTTGAAGGCTGACAGCTCCTCCCCCAGCTTCAACCGGCCACAAACAAGCTGACTAGTGAGGTTACAGTCAGGTGTGACTGTGGCTTTAAAGGGAAACTCCACCGATTTTTCAAAATTTCAGCATAATTCATTGATTGAGATGTGAACAGAGTCATTCAGAGTGGTTTGATGTGAAGCAGTTCACTGTGAAGAAACTTAACGACTCACTTCTTTTCAGTGGTGGTGATGAGAACCAGGGGTCACAATGTCTACAACACTAATATAGCCATTTTATTTACTATCCAGAACCACCAGAGAACCTACACCAGTCTCCTGAGTGTTTCTGTGTAATGCTGATGTGAAACTAAATGAAAATTGTGAAATAAACTTTGAGACTTTGACTTTATTTTGCTTTACAACACCCTGCATGTATCCCTACACCAAGAACGGGTTTGGAAAATTGCATTTAAGGCCAAAAACGTCTCGTAAAACTGCTGTAAAACAGTGTCTCAGACATCAGGCAGTGTATTCATGACTATTTCATGTAATAACTTACTGTGAGGGAGCTTTTAGAGGCTCTTCAGATGTCTGGTTCCTGTCACCACCCCTGAAGAATTCTGAATTTGGTAAGTTTCTCTGGAACTTATGGAGCATTTCACACCAAACCACTCTGAATGACTGTTTATATCTCAATTTATTTATACAGAAATCTTGGAAAAATCTGTGGAAGTTTCCTTTAAGCACACATAATTAAACAACTGAAAACTAACCACTTGCTATTTTACAGGCTTCTTTAAATTCCCTATCAAAAATATCACTAAATAGTGATGCACAGCTAAAAATAGCATTGAAATATGACTAAAACTGAAAGGCATCATTATGCCACATCAACATCATGAAATACTGGTACAGACCACGTACCGCCCAGCACTGATGTGACTCCATGTGGGTGTACAGTGGGCCTATATAGGCAGGTGCTCAGTCATATGCTGCTGACTGCAGGCCTGCAAGCTCAACTGTGAAACACGGCTCATTGACTTTTTTCCAGCTGACGGGATGGAGGGATTACCAGGATGCCTCTAATAGAGTCAGGACACCCTCCTACACTCTACTTCAACTGTAGATATGACAGATACCACGAGATACAAACCCTCACCAGAACCCCAGTGGTGAAAGCTCACTTCACCAGCCTAGAAACAACCCACTTATGGGGGCACATGGACTTACAGGAGATGCTGGGAGCTTGGTCTTAACCATTACACTGTCCGTATTAAACCAAACACAGTTTATCAGTAACTCAGTTTCCTTTAGGGTGGCTAGGCAAGGAAGCTGTCATGGCTGTTACCACTATCACAGATCAGACGTGGACCAAGGCACCTAAACCAGCCTTGAACGTGGAGAGAACTTCTTTTTTTGGACCACAGCTGCAAAAAAGCCTTGCAAAAAAACTGAGATTTAAGCTTAAAGGGGAACACCACCTATTGTTCAAAAATTCTGCATAAAAAAAAGAGACGTAAACAACGTCATTCAGAGTGGTTCGGTGTTAAACGTTACAATTAGAGAAAAAGTCAGAATTGTTCACAGTGGTGGTGATAGGAACCAGACGTCTGAAGAGTTTAATGCCTCTAAAAGCTCCCTTAAATAAAGTCACTGCATGAAATGGTTAGATATATGTTATGTGATGTCTGACACTCGTTTAAATGATAAAGTTTTGGCTCAAATGTATTTTAATCCGTTTATTTCAATCTATTAATGGCGGAGGAATATATGCAGGATGTTGCGAGGCAAAATAGTCCCCAAATAAAATGTATTTTTAGCTTTATGACTAGTTTTACTGTCACCAACATTACATATAAAAACTCAGAAGACTCGTGTAGGTTCACTGGTGGTTTTGGATAGAATATAAATGTCTATATTTGTGTTGTAGACATTGTGACCCCTGGTTCCTATCACCACCACTATAATTAAATCAGAATTAGTACGAATGACTTTACGTCTCAAGGACTGAATTATTCAGAAATTTTGAAAATTTTGTGGAATTCCCCTTTAACAAGCCTAATCCAGTGAACCTGAGGCTTCAACGACAGTCCATAGGGCAGATAAACAACTTTTTTTGGGTCACAACCGAGAAAAGGGACTAAAAACACCACGTTTTGTTTACCTTTCTCCAGCTAACGTTAACAGCGCCGATAAAACTCTCTAAACTTTCTTGTTTTTGTCTGGTTACTTCCTTCACGACCCCGGCTGAAGATAAATAAGTTGACACTTTCGTTTGGGTAAGGGAGGGCGGGGGTGGCGAGGCTGAAGTTGGCTTCTTAATTGGAATTTCCCGTTCCACCTTAAATGGTGCAGCAGTTACATTACGGCACCGGAGGCGCCAGAACGTAACTGCTGCACCATTTAAGGTGGAACGGGAAAATTCGAGCAAGAAGCTGGCGAATAGGAAGCTACCTTCAGCTTCAGCTGGGGGTGTGCTGCCGCCGGCTCGTTTACACTCCAAATACTAAGAAGGAGAGGAATTTAAGACAAAACTGAAGCCAAAATAAGGCTGTATGTCCATTTATATACCACACGGAGACACTTGGACGATGTTTATTCACTCGTTCGTTTGTAACGGCCGTTACACGGCTAACGTTAATATCACTTTCCGTAGTCTCTCAACTGTGTACTCGGTACAGTTGACGCTATAACACGTTAATATGGGCTTTATAGCACAACCAGGCTGAAGTTGGCTTCGTATTCACCGGCTTCTTGTTCGAATTTTCCCGTTCCACCTTAAATGGTGCAGCAGTTACATTCGGGAACCTGAGGCGCCCGAATGTAACTGCTGCACTATTTAAGGTGGAACGGGAAAATTCGACCACAACAAAACAAAACTCCTCGACCGCTTTTCTACGCGCAAACGTTCAGCACAGCGACTCGAAGAGACACAAACAAACCGCGGAGGAGAGAAAATGAGCTGCTGCTTACGGAATTGATGCGATTCTTGTTGTTTTTCTTTCCTTCCTTCCTTCCCAGCTTCCAACTTAATTCAGCACGTAATCCGACAACAAACTTTTCCCGAAGCTCTCATACGGACTGGATGTTCGGTTGGATGCTTCGGGAAGAAACATTCCTCGTTTCGGGTGAGAGAAAAAACAATGCAGATTAGACGGACAGTTTTCCTCCAAAATAAAAAACTGACAATTTGAAAGTTGTAGCGTTTTTACTCCATCATGGTGGCCATGTTTAAGAGGGGACCGCAGCACCGCCTCTCGTCCGCACGGACAAATAGGCCCGCTTTAAACGTTTCCCTCGGCGTCGGCCTTCAAAGTCGAAGATAACTCGAGCACGGCGCCGGGCGAGCCAATATAGCACGGGTTAATGATCCGGTGGGCGAAATAACGGCGAAAAACGCCGTAAACGGAGAACGAAAAAGTCTCACTGACCCCGCGGATGAAGACAGCCAGGGCTCACACTACGGTGAAACGCCTTTTCAGTCATCGCCGGGGGGTTGTGAAAGCGCGGAGCTGGAGTTTCAACACCGTACGGATCGGATCCACACACACCGAGCGATACGGTGGCGTGTTAATTTCGCAATGTCCTTCTCCTGCTCGGTGGCGTGGCACCTCGTAGAACCCAACAAGAGAACAACTTAATCGAGATCTTTTCCTATTTTATGTTATTTAAGAATGTTACTTCAGTTTAAACACTTTACACCTGCTAAAGATGTGGCTCTTCAAGGGTTCTTTAGTAAAAGGAACGGTCCTTTTTAGAACCATAAGTTCTATATAGAACCACCTTGCTGAAAACAGGCCATTAGAACCAGTAGGATAGAAACTTGATGGTTTTGCTTGGCCTAAGGGTTACCACTAGTTTCCTGTAGGACACGTTTAGTATAACTTACGGTTCCTAATAGATCCATTGCCTTCGCTTTAGAACCCTTGAAGAACCATCTTTTTTTAAGAGTGTATAGAAGTCATGGCTCTAAAAAGAACCGTTCCCTTTACCAATTAATCCTTGAAGAACCATTTTCAAAAAGGTTCTATATAGAAAATACAACACATTCTCAATCCAAAGAACCATTTTTACCATGCAAAGAACCATTTAAGCATGAAAACGTTGTATATAAAACTCATGGTTCTAAATAGAACCATTGCCTTTACTAAAGAATCCTTGAAGAACCATCTTTTTAAGAGTGTAGAACCATTTTGAAAAGGGTTCTATATAGAACCACATACAACACATTTTCAATCAATCTGAAGAACCATTTTTACCATGAAAAGAACCATTTAAGCATGAAAACGTTCTAGATCAAACTCATGGTTCTAAATAGAACCATTGCCTTTACTAAAGAACCCTTGAAGAACCATCTTTTTTAAGAGTGTAGAATCATTTTCAAAAGGGTTCTATATAGAACCAAACACAACACATTTTCAATCCGGAGAACTATTTTTACCATGCAAAGAATCATTTAAGCATGAAAAGGTTCTAGATTGCCTTTACTAAAGAACCCTTGAAGAACCATCTTTTTAAAGAGTGTAGAACCATTTTCAAAAAGGTTCTATATAAAACCACATACAACACATTTGAAATCAAACTGAAGAACCATTTTTACCATGAAAAGAACCATTTAAGCATGAAAACGTTCTAGATCAAACTCATGGTTCTAAATAGAACCATTTCCTTTACTAAAGAACCCTTGAAGAACCATCTTTTTTTAAGAGTGTAGAATCATTTTCAAAATGGTTCTATATAGAACCAAACACAACACATTCTCAATCCGAAGAACCATTTTTACCATGCAAAGAACGATTTAAGCATGAAAAGGCTCTATATCAAACTTATGGTTCTAAATAGAACCATTACCTTTACTAAAGAACCCTTGAAGAACCATTTTTTGTAAGAGTGTAGAACCATTTTCAAAAGGGTTCTATATAGAACCAAACACAACATATTCTCAATCCGAATAATCATTTTTACCATGCAAAGAACCATTTAAGCATGAAATGGTCCTATATCAAACTCATGGCTCTAAATAGAACCATTGCCTTTACTAAAGAACCTTTGAAGAACCGTCTTTCTGCGTGCTCCAGTTTAACACCTTACAGAAGCAGCGATGGAAAATTCCACCTGACTCACCTTTAAAGCTCAGTCAGATTCACAGCAGCTCATCTGCGTTCAGTGGGTTAAATGACGATGATGTAAGTCCAGATACTGACCGTCCACCTGGGAGAACCCCCTACCCTGGACTTCACCTCACTGGCCACTTTATTAGAAACGCCTAGCTTACAGGCCACCGGTCACCAACACTCCTCCTGGAGAGTTAAGTTCCAGTCTGCATCCAACAGACTCCCACCCCACTGACCCAACACTGATGCGCCTGACCCAGCCAATCAGGCACTGAAGACAAAGTTCACCTGCTGGAGCAGGTGTGGCTGATTGTGGTGGAAACTGGACTCCACAGGAAGGCAGGTCTCCAAGACCAGGGTTGAAGACCACTGTTACAGGCCCACTCATGGGCGCGTTTAGTGTTTCTGAAGCCCTGAGCAAAAGACAGAAGCGGGGCTGCCTGGAGGCACATACTGCAAAAAATGATATCTTGGCCAAATATAGTGAATATATCTAATTTTTCTATTTGTGAGGCTGTTGAAAGAATATTAATTATTTTATTATGGTTTTAAGCAAATTTCTTATTTTATTAAGTAAAATGATCTCACTGCACTGTTAGAAATAAAGGTTCTGTTCAGGTACATTTTTCATTCATCAAGGTACAAACAATGGAAATGTTCCCTCAAAGCTCCAACAGTGGTTTTAAGGTCTGATTGTGAACCTTAAATAAGTTTTTCCAGGTGAAAAGTTCGTATTTGTATCTTTTCATAACCGAATGTTTTAAAACAGAACAGTAAAATAAAAGCCTGGAGACGAGACGGGGTGTGTGGAGTCAGTACAGCTTAGAACATATCATTTCAGTGGATTATGGTTCAGTTATGTTCCCTGACTAAAGGTACTGAGATGTACCCTTGAGGGTTCCACCCCAGTGACAAGAGGGGAACTGCCCCAGTGACAGTCTAGTCTGTTTATTTCTGAGAGTGTACACTAGCAGATCATTTTGACTGCTTTAAGAAACGATGCTTAAAACAAGCAAAATTATCTGCCAGAATAGTGAGATGATTTAGTAGAGAGTACTGTAGAATTACAGGAATGAGATTACGTTTTCCAGGAAGTCATAAGTAACGTAATCCTGTTACATTTTGAAAAGTAATTGGCATGTTATGATGAATTATCTTTTTCTGTGTGTAACTCCTGAACACTGGAGCGATCCAGATCCGTTTCCTGGTCTTTGTGTTTCTCAGCTTCACTTCAATAACTTTAATTTACCCTCTTAACACCCAGCAAATCACCCTGAAGACCTGTAGACTATCACTTAATTATCTTGTTCACACCAGACTGTCTTAACACAGCTGCGTCGTCCATTACAGCTACTTTGAAAGAGTATATCAGGCATAACATTATGACCACCTTCTTGTTTCTACACTCATTGTCCATTTTATCAGCTCCACTTACTATATAGGTGCACTTTGTAGTTCTACAGTTACAGACTGTAGTCCATCTGTTTCTCTGATACTTTGTTAGCCCCCTTTTACCCTGTTCTTCAGTGGTCAGGACCCCCATGGACCCTCACAGAGCAGGTACTATTTGGGTGGTGGATCATTCTCAGCACTGCAGTAACACTAACGTGGCGGTGGTGTGTTAGTGTGTGTTGTACTGGTTCGAGTGGATCAGACACAGCAGTGCTGCTGGAGTTTTTAAACACTGTGTCCACTCACTGTCCACTCTATTAGACACTCCTACCTTGTCGGTCCACCTTGTAGATGTAAAGTCAGAGACGATAGCTCATCTGCTGCTGCACAGTTTGTGTTGGTCATCCTCTCGTCCTTCATCAGTGGTCACAGGGCGCTGCCCACAGGACACTGTTGGCTGGATGTTTTTGGTTGGTGGACTATTCTCAGTCCAGCAGTGACACTGAGGTGTTTAAAAACTCCAGCAGCACTGCTGTGTCTGATCCACTCAGACCAGCACAACACACACTAACACACCACCACCACATCAGTGTTACTGCAGTGCTGAGAATGACCCACCACCCAAACAGTATCTGCTCTGTGGGGGTCCATGGGGGTCCTTACCACTGAAGAACAGGGTAAAAGGGGGCTAACAAAGTATGCAGAGAAACAGATGGACTACAGTCTGTAACTGTAGAACTACAAAGTGCTCCTATATGGTCAGTGGAGCTGATAAAATGGACAATGAATGTAGAAACAAGGAAGTGTTCCTAACTAAGTGTTTGGGGCGTGTACATGTTTACATGGGATTATTTCTCCAAGTTGGCCTGGGAGCGGCTGGGGGTCCCCTAGAATGAGCCGGAGAAAGTTGTGGTGGACAGTGTCATCTGGGATTCTCTGCTTTACAAATGCTACCATGACCTTAGCTTGGATCAATTGGTTTAAGAAGATGAACGAATGAATGAATGAATGAATGAATGAATGAATAACAGATTAAATAGGGAAAAATAAAAAAGTGCACTAAATAAAAAAGAACAGAAAATGTAAAACAATAACTACAACATACCAAAATCATATTAAAAGTTAACTAAAATAAAAAATTAATAAAAAATAAACAGTGGCAGGCCGAGTGGAGGTGGGTAGAAACTTAAAGTTTAAAATGCGACACCAGTGAGTGAAGTCTTAGTTTCCAGACGCTGGTGCTCTGCAGCTAAAAGCAGATTTTCCCACTTCAGTAAAAGCTCTCAGCACCTGAAGGGTGATCCAGTCACTGGAACGAGTCTGATAACTTGCCTTATTTACACTGAGCATTTCTGTGATGTACAAAGGATATGGTCAGTAAAGCAGCCAACACACAGCCAGAGATGACCAGCCAACCTTTTCATACTGTACACAGTGATGGGTCTGTATGGATCACCAGTAACGAATCTTAAAGCAGAGAGATTTCAGATTAGTGTAGCGTTGCTTCAACAATCTTTTTCCTTGTGTGTTTTTGGAAACAAATTTTGTTTCAGTACAGGAAGCCAAATGTTTGCCCCAGTTCACGTATAAGCTTGTTAATGTGATGTTTAAAAGTGCATTTGTTGTCGGTCCATATGCCAAGATATTTATACTCACTATATCTTTCAATGTCAGATCAGTTCAGGATTGTGATTTTAAAAGTGTTAAAATCAATGTTAGATGCTCTGAAAAACAGCATAAATTTAATTTCCTCAATATTGAAGACTTTGAGTGCAGAAAGCCGATTAAGGCGTTAAAAGAATGCTGCAGTTTAGCCACTGCAGTACCAATATAGTCAGCTGAACTGTATGTGTCGTTGGCATATAATTGTACCTTGCGATTGACAATAGTGGTGGCAACGTCATTAACATACTATTAAATAATACTGGTCCA